CACAAAATTCTTAAACACACGACATGTTTCACTAACACAGTAGCTTCGTCAGGTGATATATACTCATACGATGAACTAAATTAACCTTGGCTTGCTTATTATATATCCTACTTTTCCAACCTGAAGGATTAGTTTTACCTGTGGACAGGCTCGATAAACCTCCATTTTCGGAAATTAGGCACAATATCTACATTAAAATACGGTGTACCGGATTAACTTGAAAGGGTTGATATATCAAATACATGTCCCTAATAGCACACAACGTCCTAGGGACGTCCCTATTTGGTACAATTCACGTCCGAATGTCCCGAACCAAAAATAAGTGTCCTTGGGACGTCCCATCTCGTACATCTCATGCAATGTCCGAGCAAGGACGTCCACGGAATTTCCCAGCTGGTACATCATTTCAAATGTCCTAGAAATGGCATCCCTTAGACGTCCCACGTGGTACATATTGTAGAATTCCCATGCAAGGACGTCCTTGGCATGTCCCTGATGGGATATGATTTTGAACGTTCCTTCAGGGACATCCATCGGATGTCTCGAGTAGTACATATACTGACATGACTGCAGATCTTATATAATGTCCCTTCTAGACAACCATGAAATGATCCTGATGGTACATTCCTTGAAATATCTCTGCACAGGCGCCCTTAATGTTTCCAGGATCGTATAACAATCGAAATGTCCCTTAGGGACGTCCTTCGAATGTCCGTCAGATGTCCCAATTGGTACATAGACTGTACTCTTTCAATGTCCTAGAAATAACGTCCTATGGACGTCCTAGTCGGTACTTTCAATATGTTGTCCCTGCGAGGACGTTAACTTACACCTCGCCGACGAATGATTGCTCGTAGGCTATAAGTACTCCTCGTCAATGTCCTTCACGTAAGTCCATTGGACATCCTTTGGGGACCTTCTACGGACCATCAACTCAAGTGGATGTCCTAATCAGTTATGCAAGATCTGGTCCTAAAGGGACCCAGACAAATTCAAATTCAAGAATAATTCGTACGTCCCTGGGACATCCTATGGACATCCATTTGATATCCCTCAGCGTTGCTGATAGGTTGTCCTATGGATGTCCTAAGGACGTCCTCTGTAGTGCTTGATGAGGAATACTGTGGGATTTAGGTATTCGATAGTTGTCCCAGAGACGTCCCTCAAGGACGTCCCTAGTTGGTCCTCAAGTGGGACATTTGTGCGTTCCACAGACGTCCAATGGACGTCCACGGTACCAAATTCGAACGTCCGATGGACGTCCTGAATGTCCCGACAGGGCGTCCTAAGGATATCCATGGGACATAAGTGTGTTATTAGGGGTTATATTACTTTCTAACAGAAAAAACAAATTCAACAGTGGTGAACTATTATTGAGGTACGTCTAATGATCGTTAAGTAAAATGTAAAAATTTTTTAGTTTGTTGATTTTTTAATGATTCCAAATTATTGAGTTTCATTCCTTTATTTTCTACGTGTAGAATTTCGAAATTTCGAAATTATCAAAACTATAGTTTTCTTTTAATACAAGGTGATTCTAAAATAGGTGGTCAAACTTTGGGAGTATATAGAGTGAGTGAAATAATTACGAAAACCTCGGTAATATTTTTTTCTGAAGTGCCCCCCAAGAAAGATACAGCCCCTCAAAGGGGGGCCTCGGAGAATGATTTTGTACTATTATCTCCAATACCTTGTATGATGAAAATCTAAAATTTAGTTTATCCACTAACTATTCAGTGCCGGTTCGAATGGAGTTAAAATCACCTCAAAATTAAATACAGGGGTGTGTCAAAACAGGTAGGTAGGTGGTAAAAATAACCCCAACTTTTTTGTTCATCGGAATTTCAGTTTTTTTACATGAAATTATGAAATCTCAGAGCTATCAACATAGAAAAGGAGCTCTTGTTGGATCTCGATAAACTGAACCATTAGCGAATAAAATTTATTTTTCCAAGATTTCATTTAAATTGCAATTTTGGTATGCACTTGAGTTTAATTATCTAGTTCAAATCTTGCAACTGAATTTTCACCTACTTCTAATCGTCTGATCAACTTGGAATCTGGCAGATGATAGTTGACAACGCGTTATGGACTTTTTGATAGAAAAAAATATGGCGGCTTCAATGTGGCTGACCAGATTTGTGATTATGGTTCGATTCGATTCAAAATTGGTTTGTAAGGGTTTTTGGGGTTTGGAAATTTTGAATTCATTGTCGGAATTGATGAATTGACAATAGACGACGAGTTTCGTGATTATGGTCTGATACTATTGAAAATACTAAAATGAAAAATATTGTTAAAAACAAGCTTTTTTAAATTTTATTCGCTAATATAGTTAATTTAATCGAGATGCAACAAGAGCACCTTTTTCATGTAAATAGCCCTGAGATTTCATAATTTCATGTCAAAAAACTGAAATTGCGATGAACAAAAAAGTTGGGGTTATTTTTACCCCCTACCTCCCTATTTTGAGACACCCCTGTATTTTATTTAGAGGTGATTTTAACCCCATTCGAACCGGCGGATAGACAAAATTTCAGATTTTCATTATACAAGGTATTGGAGATAATAATACAAAATCATTCTCCGAGGCCCCCATTTGAGGGGCTGTATCTTTCTTGGGGGTCACTTCAGAAAAAAAATGTTACAGAGGTTTTCGTAATTATTTCACCCACTCTATATGCTCCCAAAATTTGACCACCTATTTTAGAATCACCTTGTATATGGTTGGCATATGTTGAATTTGTTTTCTTTTTCAAGACATTCATCTAACGTTCATGAATGCGCTGATTAAACGTACGACCTGTCTGGCCGATATATACCTTGTTTAGGACAAGATCCACAGTTGAGTTTGTGTACCCCTGATTTTTCGAAGTTTTGTCTTTATTATCCTTGATAAAACCTTCCCGAAAATGGAGGTTTATCGAACCTGTCCACAGGTAACTGATCCTTCAGGTTGGATATATAAGCAAGACAAGGTTAGTTCAGTTCATCACTGTGTTAGCGAAACATGTTGAAGGCTCTTGAGGTTCAGGGTAAGAACTCTGAACCGTTTCTGATTAATACCCGTGACATATATTATCGATTGTTTTGTTCACCGATAACTGAATCTTTTACGCATATAATTCTAGTGAATAGAATACAAATTTTGTTTACCCTTTATTCGTCATGTATTAGCAATGGACCAATCACTTGCTATTGAAAATGTCTATCAAATTCTATCCATAGCATATACTTGACGAGAAGTTTTAATATAACGCATTAGCTTCCGAGATTCCGACTGTTATAAGGAAGTGATTGCTAACATGCTAACGTGTCGACCTCTTTTGTGGGACGTGATGATCACTTCTGTCTTCTGATTTCTATGGGCTGCTCTCCACAAAATTTCGATAACTAAACTTTCAGAAAGCGAATCTTCATCAAAAACCGAATGATTGATTATATATTTTCATGGGATGGATGAATATGACATGAAACATAATATGCGAAATTTTTCCTCCTCACGTAACATATATATGACCACATAAAATGTCATTCCAATACAGCCAATATTCTAGAAGTTATATAGCTTGTCTAATGGATTCGTTGACACCCGGTATATAGAGGATATCTCATTATAAATTTATAATTGATTTATTTCCAAATGCGATTGTATAGACAACATTGATTGACAGATTGAAATTCACTATTCCATTCACCATTCTTGTTGCAAATGGAAGGTGATCAATTTGTTAATTGAAACCAAATGAGATAACTATATATGGATTCAATTTCTAAAGGTAGAGGTACCGTCAAATGAGATGACGCCATGACTTTTTGAGAAAAATCGTTTTATTGTCTCTACGAAATGTAATTTAATCCCGATTGAGGATCATTGGACGTAGTTATGCAACAATTAACCAAGCTACATGATCGTCGAAACTGAATACTATGCAAATAAATCGATGGCTAAACTTAACAAAAAAGCACAAAGTGATCGAATTTATTTTCGATAAAAGAACAATCTGAAATCATGCGCATCAATTCATTTGTTATGCAAAAAAGAACCACGTGAGATGGTTCTTTTTTGTAGTTCTGAGTTTACCTACCATTGAGATGGATCCTATTACTCTCAAGATTTTTACCAAAATCCCTTGACAATTCAAAATGCAAAAAGGAACCATCGCACTTTTTTTATAAATAATATTTGTTGAGGAAATTAAAATTGAGATTTTTTTCCATTGAATTATGTTTTTCACATGTGATTAGATAGGAAAGTAACAAAGCAAAATATCACTGATTTATTCAGTAATTCATAACCTGTAAATGTCAATATATAGGTTTCATGTGAGTGGGGCGAATTTACCACCCCTTCACTACAACCCCAGATGGGTCAATATCTTGAAACATATTTTTGTGGCTTGGTTCCTTTTTGCATAACTGCGTCCATATTTGCACTTCAATTTCATTAATTCATTTTAAGCTATTTATTTGAATTCGTTCAAATGTGAACTAGCGGTGAAGCAAAGGTAACACTTTTAGTTCCTTGGATTAGAAGTAGTTATTCGGGTGCTCCAGTTCATTTAGGAAAAATTCAAGTGGGAAATAGACCTTCGAGAAATATTAAGGAGATTAAGATTTTTTTACGAATTCTCTTCTAGTAAGTACATGTCATAAATATTTCCAATTTGGACCATATCTTAATTATTTGTCTATCTCAGATTGGAAATTAATGGCTACAAAAATTTGTACATGCCTCTGTAGAAGGCTCGAAATTTTCTTCTCGAATCCATATGATCTGTTGTTATGCTCTGAATTCACAAAATATTTTGCTGAAAATTCATCCGATGAAAATATATGCAGTAAAATTCGTGAAATGGACCCTGCGCTAATCAAGTAGTGATTGAGTAATTTATATCAAAAGGTCTATCGCCTTGAATGCACTTATCAAACTCTACTTATGAGTCCAAAATATCTCTGGAAAACATATCCACTTTATTTTTTCAAGAAAAAAAAATTTAAGATTTACATTCACATGTTTTAATATAAATAAATCATTGGGAAACGATATGACGTACATTACAATAAAAATAATATATAAACTTAAATATACAAAATGTTATCTTCAGTCTTCATTGTCCAAGCTGTTTTCATTTCTAAAATTATTCAATGTGGAGAAAGTTTGGGTAATCATGGAAATCAATTTTTACAATAATCATTGTTCATTATGTAAATGATATGATGTTAACTGATATGAGAATTATTGTGGGATACGAACAAGGAAGTTTCTCACATGTTTTGTTGAATATTCGATTTTCTGAAAATCTCAACTGTAAGTACCTACAGAAAAAGGAAGTTTCTGAAATGTCATGTTGAATATTCGATTTTCTGAAAACCTCAACTGGAAGTAAAATGTATTTTCTTATACGGCTATAACACAAAATTGCTCTTGTTTTATTGTGTTGGATCCATTAATGAGGTACTTTGTATGTCATCAATTTCATTTCCGGATCTGATATCACAATTACTTTATTGTTATTATTTCACAAAATATCATCTCCCATTAAGTGTGAAATTTCAAGCATGGCAGCTCTGTCTAATAGATGAGCATTACCTAAGAGAAAATCAGATGACTACATGCCGAACAAATAAATAATTCCGCTTTTATCTGTTACAGCCGTAAAAAAGTTCAGTGTATAACTCGGAAGGAATGCTAATTTCTCACTCGTATGATTTGCAGCATTCACCTACGGCTCATGCTGCGAACTTCAGTTTCGTGGAAAAAGACTAACATTCCCTTGTTTAACAATCATATTTTTCATTATCAGTATTGATAGATATACATATTTCCGAATTGAATCACTTTACACATGCATTTATGTATTTGGTTTCGAAATGCTGAGATTTTCTTTACAATAATTACTGGTAGGTACAATAGACAGAAAAATTTTGAAAGTGAAAGGAGACATGTTATGAATTTGAGATAACATTTCAGAAAAAAAAGAAAAGTCCTTTTGAAATTTCATGCTGATACAGTGTTTCTACACAAAGAAATATTTTGCGACTTTGAAATCAATAAAATCCATTGATGTAGGACGAAAATTCATCGGTTTTAGTAATTTCTCCACTGAATTGTAGGAAGCATTTATATCAGTTTCAGCATTTTTTTCCAAAATTTTGAATGTTTATCAATTTGAGCAATTTCTTCCATGATGGAAAAAATCATATATTAAAATGATGATGAATCCAATAGGAAAGAAAATACAAAGTTGTTCAATGTACCTATATACTAGAACATTCAATAACATCAAACCACTAGACGTGCCTTTCCAAGTAACATAAAAGAGATATAGGACCATAGATATGTAACAAAGACAGAAACAGTGTTTTCCCAACCATCAGCTGGTAGCTGCTCCTTGGCTCTCTGTTATAATTTCATAATTGCAATCATTCAAAACCCCTGTTCAGTTCTCGGAAGACGTGAGGTTTTCATCCAGCATTTTTCTCCATTGAGTTTCAATAATCAATCATCTGAATCTTGTAACATGGCGTCGCAATGTTTTCCCAAGTTCACCTTTTTTCGTACCGTCTCACTTTCATGTTGATTTCCATCCCTCTTTCTTACTATTGGCACCATCTCGTAGTTCGATATTATCAGATCTTTGAATGTACTTATCCTAGATCATCGTTTCCATTGATTTTCAATGCATTTTAATGAATCTAAATTTCACACTAGCTGAAACTATTTTGTTCGATTCATCTCTGTGATGAATTGCTAATAATCAGAACTACAAATGACGGTTTGAGAAAAAAATCGAAAAAAATACACTGAAATTTAATGAAAACATATTCATTTTTGAGCAGTTTGAATACACTAATCAGTAGGATCGCAAAAACTTCACAGTCGGTTCGGAAGAGTTTTATAGACCTTCAAAAATCATTCAAATGTCTGTTCATTCACGCAAGATACATGGAAATAAAAAAAAATCATTCTGTATACATCTGAAGCTCAACATCGATAAAGTTCACACTCTCATTTTTACATTTTATAATAACAAACACCGAGTCCTCTGACTCTAAAAATCTATTGAACTCCACACACAAGTCTAAAACACCACACTACTTTTCTTCACTTAATAAATAATACATATATATATAACTCTAGTACGGCTTTTTCATAAACGCAACACTGATGATGATGATGTCTATTGTGAGGTGAAAATGTAAATAAATAGTTCTCAGTAGACACGAAATCAGGAAATATTTCGTTCGTCTGAATTATTCACTAGAAGCTGCTGAGCATTACTCGCTGAAAAAAAAAATCACAATAAGTTAGTCCGATGATAACATGACAATATCATATTGATTCAGTCAAGTGAATTGTGAAAAGTAATGATTCTTTGATGAAGAAAAATGAACGAATATAAAAAATCAACACAGGAACAAAAACACTACATTCGAGGAAAATCGACATGTTTCGAACCGTACCTCTATCATCACTCTATTAAATACGATTTAGAACTGTACATGAAAATAAGGTTATTCAGAGTTGATTTTGGAAAGATGCAGTCAGTTAAATTGGATCGAATATTGGCAAATGGAAAATGATTTGGAATTATGTTCACTGTACTCCTACTTCTGTAATGGATGAAGAATCAAGACACACAAACAGGATGAATAAAGAAAGGTAATGCATTCCATTATTGTTTTGTTTAAACCAAACCACTTTACGAAGCCAACGTGAAATTACATAACTTTTCCGTAACATTTAACAAATTCATTACTGTTATCTCCATTTTATGGAATTATGCTTGAAATAACATTTCCTGCAACTGTGTTTCTTTGAGAAAGTAGTAATATCACGGTACAGTCCGATAAGTCACATCATTGTTGAAGAATATTCAATTAATATAAGGGACTGGTGCTGAGTCATTCCTTTATTCAACAAATTATTATTATAACCTGTTGAACTTCTTACTTGAGTTACTATTTCAATAGGTACCTACTAGTCTAATCAATTTAGAGTGTTTTTTCATCTCCGAAAACCTTTTGAGTGTTACCGAGTTGGGTGTATTAGTTTTTATCCCTATACATCTATTGCTAAAGTTCCAATCGTGGATTCTAATTAGCTTCATCAAGTTAGCTGTTCGCAAAATCTGTGAATATGGATTGCTATATTCTATTATGCACACAACCCTTCATACAACCCAACCTGTATGACTTCAATGAAGGCGATGAGATTGTTCTTTTTAAGGTATTAAAAGCTTTTATTTGTGTGTATTGAGATCTATGATTCAACTTGCACTGTATGGGTGTATTTTAGTTCGGGTGGAATCTTTGAACTCAATTTTGAAGTAGATATCTTCAACCGATTGAGCTGAAAAGTTGTATACACGTTTAGTTCGGATGACAATGCACGATAAGGTGTGTGGTTCTAAATCCAATATGGCGGACCATCCAAGATGACGGAATAGTTATTTTCAATGCACTTCCACAATATTGGTATCAAATAAAAGAGCTCGTTGAGAATAACTCATAAAATAATGTGACGTCATTCTGAATCCAATATGGCGGACCATCCAAGATGGCGAAATAGTTATTTTTAATGCACTTCCACAATATGGGTATCAAATGAAAGGACTTGCTGAGAGTAACTCGAAAAATAATGTGACGTCACTTTGAATTCAATGTGGCAGACCATCCAGTACGGCGTAATATTTATTTTTAATGCACTTCCACAATATGGGTATCAAACGAAAGGGCCTGTTGAGAGTAACTCGAAAAATAATGTGACGTCATTCTAAATCCAATATGGCGGACAACCCAAGATGGCGGAATAGTTATTTTCAATTCTCTTGTACAATATGGATATCGAATGAAAAGGTTCGTTGAGAGCAACTCGGAAAATAATGTGACGTCATTCTAAATTCAATATGGCGGACCAAGATGGTGGAATAGTTATTTTCAATCTACTTTTACAATATGGGTATCAAATGAAACGGCTCGTTGAGAGTAACTCGGAAAATAATGAAACGTAATTCTGAATCCAATATGGCGGAACATCCGAAATGGCGGAATAGTTGTTGTTGGGCATGTACAGTACACAAAATGCAAGGTAGTACTGTCGAGTACGCCGTTATTTACTTAGGCTCGAAGCACTTCGCTGCTGGTCAAGCATACGTGGCTTCAAGTAGGAAGAGCTGGACTCTTCGAAATTAACCGGCAAACGACCTTTCAACAATTATGCGTTGAATGAAATAAACAGACTGAAAAATCTAGCCAGCAATAACTAGAAATTGAAAAATGAATTGAAAGTAAAAAAAAATCAATAAAAAGCTTTCATTCAAACGCTTTAAAAATAATACAATAAAATGTTCCTTTATAACTATCAACTTATAACCTTATTAAACACAATTTATATGATCATAAAAGCATAAATGACTTTCATAGTTACAGTGAAAACAACCATGTGATACTTCTTGGACTAAGAAAAAATGCTACTTTCTCAAAGAAAAAGCATCCGACAAGTGAGTCCGGAGGGTTGCCGAAAAAGGTTATTTGGTTATTCCACCGTTGTTTCGAAAACTTTCTACAATTTTGCCTCTTGAGATGGAATCTCTGAACATTTACATCTTGGTATGCATTATTTCAAGATTTGCATTTTCTATTCAAATAAAATGATACCCCAAAACTGTCGAATACGTATAAGACATTTTATCACGAAAAAACAAATTTTCAAATAAAAATATCCCGAAAACAAATTTGGATGATGTTCAAGATCACATTACAGTTGGACTGGAAAATCTGACCTCTATAAGTCAAATATGAAAACAAGTTCATGCGATGTGTCATTTTCCAAAATATATCCGCACGAAAATTGTATTACAACGTCGACATGATCGAAAATAATGTGTATGAAAATGTTTTTTCATCATCTTCCTATCAAACTATAACAGGAGACTTAGATTTTTTTAAACAACTTTGATTTTTCGAAGTCACATCCATCTTCAAGTGACAAAATTTTTAGTGAACCTAATCCCTTGATTTTCGAGATTTTAAAAAGTCAGTCGAATGGGTGAAGTAACAGACTGATGAAGACCACCACCACATAAATGGAATAAAAATTGAAATCAAAACATACATCAAGAGGCACAATGCTCAATTACTTTCCACTTGCAGCTGTTCCTCTTGCTCACTTCGAGGATGTCGGGTAGACCCTACATAAAGCCATGAATGTTAACAAAAAAAAATGACAACTAGAAATCTGAATTCATAAAATTGGATATTTTATAGTAGAATAACAAGCACGTTGCTAGATACTAAAAAATTAACACAATTCCACAAAAATTGGATTATTTATTTCACATCCATTGTAAATCAAAAAAAGGGGTTTTCTACAGCAGATATACATATTATTTTTTATTACACATTCTCCAGTTATCAACTTCAGCGACTATTTTCTCAGCTACAGCATACATTTTATTTCCTCTTCGAAAATCTAGAATTTTATTACCAAGATGATATACAGAAAAGGCAATATTTGCATTAAGTTCAACATCCGGGTACTATTTTTTTTTGTGACAGGAAAAAAGTTTGAAACTTCATCTCACTTGATAGGTTATGAAATGTCACTTCTTATGAATTACATTTTTTCTGTGACGGGAAAAAAGTTTGGCATTTCATCTTTGTTGGCAGGTTATTAAATGTCAATTTTACTAAATTACTTTTTTCCCGTGGGAAAAAAGTGAGCACTTATTTCCCGGATATATATCACATATATATACACTGCGAGATTGTTGTTTTAGTACCATCAGAGTACCAGTACAGAAACACATAGGACTGACTCCAGCATTCATAAAGAATGTAATGTGTGTGTAATGATCTTAGTTTCTGACTCTCCACCGTTATCATTGGTGAGCTGATTCTCGAGACAAAAAGAGAAATACGTGACAAATTATATAAATTCACAAGAAGATTTTAATAATTATTACATCATATAATATTGGGTTAAAGGAAACGCGTTTGATAATTCACTAACGTTAGCAGCTCAGTCAACGTGAATGAAATACTATCATATGCAGTAGAAAGTTGACTATGGTGAAATATTTGAAATAAATATCGAAAAATCAATGGGTCATAGAAACCATTTCTATCTGATCGACCAACACTTACTATGGGTCATACCCTGCGCCTTCTTGAATTCATTTTGTTAAATTCCTATTGACGTGCCAATCTTCATTGTGCATAGTTAATAATATGGATTCTTTTATTGTGATAATATATTGATATATCAACAAAACAGGTTCTTTTGTTGACATTCAATTTTGAAATTATTATTGTATGGGCTTTAAAAAATGGTTTGCATTCAGTATCTGTCTGTCCTATAGACATTCTCAGAATATCTGTTAAAGCATGCAATTTTATAGATGTGGCTCTAGTGTTTTCAATTGCGAAGGTAATTTATTCCAAATTTTCTTGCGTTTTTTAGATATATGTACTTCACGGTATGCCGGTCGTCAGTATGCCTATTGTTATTGTATTATAAGTATGTTCAGGTGTGCTGCCTTTAAATGAATCATATTTTTTTATGAACATTTTGTTGCTTCTGCATATTGTAGTTGATATTTTGTTTTCAATAAATAAAAAGTTGAAACTATCTCTGCGATTTAAATGAAATATATTTCTGATTCATCTCTTTTGTAGAATTAGAATTTGTTGAGAGTGAACTGAGTTAATCCAGGAGATAATTCCATAGCTACTGTACATAGGCATGGTATGCCATTAGTGAATATTTTCATCGATATTTGATGAATATATTTTCAGACCATTGCTATACGTTGATAAACTACTATAAATTTGCGCAATTAGGTCTTTCCAATCCAACCTCTGATCCAACGCTCACACCTAGAAATGTCACTGATGATTCAGATACAATATCTATCTACTTTTGTATGTTATTCTCAAATTGTTGTTTGATGATGAAAGAAGGTTCTTGTTAGTGAACTACTTTGATTTTGGATTTATTAGGAATACCTTTCTCATCATAGTCAATTCGAGGTTGCTTTCTATTCTGGAGGTATGAATTGATAGGAAGTAGTGGCAACGCTCTGATTTCCATACGATCCAGTTTTCTGCATAGGATGGTATGATCGACGCTGACGAATGCTTTTGACTGGTCAAAGCACAATGCTGATTATTATTTATTGACTTGAGTTGTTTGTAATGCTTGGTATATAGCATTGTGCCTCTTCTTTTTCGAAAGCCAATCTGCCGCAATTTGACAATAGTTTAATGTCGTCTCAGAAAATTTCAATTTTGCTATATATGAGTTTCAAATATTTTATTTATATTGGATAGTAATGAAATTATTGTGTACTTTTTGATTTCCCTCATCACCATTTTTATTTATTGCTTTTACATGTGCTAGTTTCAGATACCTGTACAGAATGCTAGGTTGATTATATGTGCCAGAGGATGAGATATTTGGTGTACAGATTTCCTCAAGAGACTTCGTCCTCTCCTATAGATTGTTGTTTATTCTCATGGACTGTTTTTTATATTGGAGAATCAGTTCACGGGAGATTGTGCGGTGGACTTTAGAAACAGTCCGTAAAATGCCCTTATTTGAGCGAAACTCTAAAGACTCTGAATAATGGTCTAAGAAAAACATCTTCATCTTTTGCATGGGGAAAATTGTATGGACATAAATATTTACAAACCATTGACTGCTTGTTCCACTTTATGTTTATCCTGGATGATATAGAAGGCGGTGATGAGGAAGAAAAGGCCTCCTATGACTTCCACGAAACATGTTGAAAACAAAGCGTACTGTAACGACTTGAATTTTGCTAAATCCGTGTCGTCGGTCGTAGAGTTTTCTGATCTCATGCCTATCTTGAATGCCTCAGATAGCTAAGAGAAAAAAATGTTTCAATGAGCAATAAAAACATTCAAATCGTGGAAATCATTCATATCATGACAAAAAAGTCCTAACATTATTTCAAAAATGGAAAAAGTACACCTTTTCTAGTTGAATTTAAAAGAGTCGAATGAACTTCTGGGTCAACGTTGAGATATGAATATTTCGTTAACAGCGCAGGCAGCTTCTTCAAGAGGAAATTCATACAATAAATCAACCTTACATTGACTTGTCCAAACTAGAGCCGCTGTATGTATTTGACAGTTTTGTTGTTATAAGAGTACGGACACTATGACAAGCAGTGACAGGAAACCCTAGAAAAATTTGTTTGACATGACCAATTTGGCGGGCACTGACAGTTCATGAACGTACATACATGACATTGATTTATTTGAAAATTCACTTTTTCAAAAATTAAAATGGTTAATTATGTAGTTGAAAACTCCATGAATAGAAGAGAATCATTTCATGTATTCCATTTCCCCCATGATAAACAACAGCTACAGAAATGGAAACAAAATATGATATGTCAATTAGTTTCAAAGTACTAGGCACGAATCATTTTTGAATTTCCAGATGAAACACCCTGTAACTCAGACATCTCATCTTCATATTTTCAGCTCAGGATCCCATAGTTGAAATATTTCCAATTAGTATAACCGATAAAACGTTAGGACGGTTTATTGGAAATAATAAAGAACGACCTTCCTTAATTGAAAAAGTATACAAACTGAACTGTATATCTTGTCCTGAGGTAAGTTTATTTGTAAGGTTAGGTAGAACGTTGAACCACCATATATTCTCGAACATCAAATGAGTGCTTTGAAAAATGAAACAATTTCAAGATACACAAACACTACAAAATTTTGTAATCTTATTTGTAAAAAATGAAGGAATAAAACTCAATAATTTGAATTAGAACAAAACAAATGCAAAAATTCAAACATTTTAGTTATCAATTAAACTAAACCTCAACCATCCATTGCTTCTGAATTTGTTTCCTTAGTAAGTAATAGTCACTCTTTTCATGTAAATCAGTTACACCAAAGTCTAATGTAGATGTTGTGCACACTTCTCGAAATGAAGGATTAGTTATCCTACTATCAGGGCATTCTGATCCTTTAGACACAAGTTAATGTTAGGTTAATTTATTGTACGACTATTTCACTTGTAGGATGTAATGTTTAGCGAAGGATGTCGTTTTTCAAGAACTTAAGTAGCGGCCAGGTCAATACAGAATAGTCCCTCATTCAATTTCATAAATCATCAATTCATTTTATTTTAGAAATCATCAATTTCATTTCAGAATAGCATGTGAATTTCAGAAAACGTCAGAGAAGTTTGGAAACAGTACCCACAAATCATGAACTTTTGACAAATTCTGGAATTCCAAAAATATTTCGAGCAAACACATTGTGTGAAATGTTTTGACCCCAGAAAAAAAAATTTAAGAAACATGCTATCCTATCAGCAGTCTATTGAAAATTTTGAAATAATGCAGGGTATTATTTATCATCCTGTATTATCTCATTCTGAGGGATTACAACTAATCACAAAAACATATTCGATAATCAATGAGGGGAGCATTCAGTAACTGGAGAGAGATTGGAAATTGGTTGTGGATATCCTAAGATATTATGAAATTTGATTGAAAATTTTCGATTTTACGTTTGGAATGTTTATCAGTGTATATTGAGTTCATTGAATATAATATTGTTAATATTTCAAGACAGTGAATTTGTTAACTACTTAGATATACAACTAGTTATTGAATGATTAATTATTATAGACTCAACTTTGAGAATGATTATCAAGTCTATTTCTGACAACTGTCAACATGACATTTTTCTAAATGTTTTTAGGGTGCACTAGTCTATCTTGCCAACAAAAATTCATCACACAATACACGTTTTTCCCATCTAATCAACAAACTTACAACTCCTATTAAGTAAGGGCTGCCTGCATCTCCTAAGGCGTGCGACACCAACAACTGGAATCCTTCTGCAGTCGACCTCCTTGTGGGTAAAACGACGTACTGCAAAATTGAATTATTTATAGCTTATTTATAGCCATTTTATAGCAGAGCCAGTCCATAAGAATACCAAATCAGAAGCATGAGCCCAATGATAAAAAAATTAAAAGAAAATGCACACAGACTGAATTGAAATTGAGAATCACTTTGTAAGTATATATGGGAATATCATCCTCCTGAGAATTGAGAATATCCAATGTCATGTCAGACAAGATTCGTATAGAGCAAAGTAGATAAAATTCATTCAATTTATGTGCAGTCTTCGAAACGATATGTTAAGATGTTTCAGAGATATCCATGGGAACTATATTAGTTATGTTATAATTGTTATGGGTTAATTGGTGCAAGTTTGACAATTCGACCACTACGATGTTACAATGATTGATAGAAACCCCGTGTGAATTAGTGGAGGCGAAAATAATGAAACGTGATTATATTAATTCAACTTTAATCCACTAGAAATGAGTTTTCACTTTCACCCGTATAAATACTTGAATCGATTCATTTGGTAACAACAATGTATAAGAAAAATCCTGAAAATACGGTCCTAAAACCAATTTCTAATTGTTAATTATATCAATAAAAAACAGACAGGATATACTACCATGCAACTGAGATCGATGAGCAAGCGAAACTGAGGATGTATTATTGTGTGTCTCACTTTAAACGGACCCTCCCCTCCCTCTATATCCTGCGATTTTCACCAAACTTGGACTAGTGTGAAAAACCATCAACCAGTTTTTTACAGATAAACATCATTTTGGACTCTGTCGGGAATTTTAATCAAGGGTTTATCAAAAAGGGGTAGATTTTTGATGAAATCATAGCAGGTTTTCTTTGCAGGAAATCTATATTCACAGTATTGTTAATCATGCCTTTGCGAATTACCAGGATCGGCTTAATTTTTTCATTCACTGTTCACAAATTCTGGAATATTTAATAGCTCCCACAGTTAAAAACATTAGGGTTTAAAAAACTTGAACTACCCATTTTCGAGTAATTAATCCTTTACGTTTTAATGTGTCTGATTTGTTTCAAACCTTTGATAGAGTTTGAAATCACGAAGAACAATGAGGTTAAATTCCCTTTGAAAAAATCTTAATGATTTTATAAGAAATCGACCTATTTGTATTTTAATGAAAACTCCTGGCACTGTTCATGATGATATACGTCGTTGAAACACTGATCATACTGATGATTATTTATACCAGTCCAAATTTGGTAAGAATGACTAATAGCCGAGATGTAGAGGAGGGTCCGTTTGAAGTGAGACACGCTGTATATCAATTTTCAAATTGAAATAACAGTAATAATAACGATACTATATATTTTTTTATACAGTGTGAAGACTTTAACTAGAATAAATTCACTAGCGGGGAGGAAAATATGTTCTCTAAAAACTCCCGACATACGACAATGTTAATGTATATACCTCCATTTTGCAAGCATCATGAAGAATCTATCCCGTCAGGAGTAGTTGAAACCACCCTAAAATTTTTTTTTTTTTCAAATGCCTCTCTATGGTTTGTGACTCCCCATTGAAAAGCTGGTGGACAGAGGAATCCAGCGCACTGTTCAAATAATTTCAGTTTTCAAACGTTTGAGGGTTGCATAAAATAAAAATGTTATTATGAAATTCAAATTATTTTCAATCTAACAATTGCTCAAACAGTGTTTTGAATTATTCAATAGTTATTTTCCTAACAAGTGCGAAAAGTGTAACTTTTCCGCAGGCAGATACAGTTAGGCGAACGACGCCGTGCGGATAACACCCATATCCGCACTGAGTGCGAAAAAGTATTACTTTGCGCACGCAAATGAGTGCGGAAAGCACTACTTTGCGCACGCTCGTAGGAAAAAGAAATTTTGGCCACAACTGCTATCTACTATTGTGTGCCAAGTGTTTTATAGAGCAGAATCAATCAATTTAGTTTTTATGCAGTATTCACAGTTCCAAACAAAGTGTTATTGCAAACTGGTGAAAATGCCTTACATAACTGTATCTGAAAATAGAAATTTTGATGGGAATACGTTGAAAATATATCAAACTTTGTAATCAGTATGCTGGATTCCTCTTTCAACCAGCTTTGCGATGAGGGGTCACAAACCATACAGTTCCATTTGAAAAAATCATGTTGGGGCTGAATTCAGCTACCCCTGAAGGATTATATTCTTCATTATGCTCGCAAAATGTAGGTTAATACATTGAAACGTTGACGTGTCTAGCGAATTTTCAGAAAAATCATTCATTTTTTCGTTAGCGAATTTATTTCAGTTACTCTCCTTTTTGTACATATACACTCATACATCATATCAAGTGGCGATGGTTTCAATATTTTTCTACATTTGAGTGGTAAACGACAATAAATTTAGTTCAATGACAGTAAATAAGTGTTTGACATTCTTACTTTTATCTATTCGACCATATGGTACCGAAAGACTATACCTACATTTTATTCAATTCAAATACCACCTAAACATCAAAATTACGCCTTCGAATAAGTGTGAATTTTCCCTGGCCTATTATTGTCCACCAGTTTGTTTGAATTGATTGAATGAACCATTTCGCAATTTTATTTCAAATTATTGTCCATTAGTTTTCAAATGCCATCAGAAAAATCAGAAGCGTTTCAAATATGACGCTACCCAGATGCAAAATGAAAATTGAGTCTTTCACCACCTGATATAATATGTGGTATAAGCTAAAAATTACATAGTAGTACCGAAAACGTTCACCCAAAGGTCTAGTATCTAGTAGATTTTTTCAAAATGTGAATATTAATATGAAATTCGAACAAAAACGGGACAAACACAAAACAAAAGCAGTAAAGCACCAAAAATATTAGTATTATTAACATCATCATTTCATCACAATCTCTGAAAATTATTGAAAAAAAAAAAGATATGAACAATATGAGCATTCAAGTTATCGAGTTGTTTCAGTAAATCGATCAAAAAAATATGACTTCTATTAACATGGTCTCCATAACTGCATGGGCAATAGCCAGTGACAAATAATAGCTGAGATTACATGTCCAACCCTTTACCTTTATTAATTCAAGGTAGAAATTAGAAGTTAGAAAGACTGATGGTATGAAAAAAATTAAGAAATTGAAGGAGAATGAATTAGGTAATTGTAATCAGTAGGTTTCTGTAGGCATCAGCTGAAACAGATACACAAATCATCAGAAATTCAATTACTGGTGATTCAAACATTCCCTTAAAAACACAAAAACAGGTCGCACATACTTTACTACAGTTGCAACGAAAATTGCAGAACAAGCACGTTTGTATTGTATTGATGAGTCATAATCTGCAATCAATTAAACCATGGTGGAATTACTATAATTTTTTTCACATTATATTTCAGATGTTTCTCACTGGACGACAAAAAAATATAGAGAGATTATCATAGTTGAAATTAGACTGAATGTGTCAAATCTGGTGAGAAGTTTGCGATGATTTCAGGTATAATGCGAATCAAAATATGGAATAATATACCTTACTGATATTTTTCATTTCCCTGACAATTGGGAAGATCAAGTAAAAAAAGGTGTTTGGTGCTGTTAATGAATATGTGAAAATATTACGAATATTACTTCTATGAAATTAAACAAGAATAGTTTTTATTTTCTTTCAACTATAACTTCAATATCTGAGATGATAAAATAGAATTTGGTACACCGACTAAAGGACACAAGAGAAGTATAATGAATTTTTTGAATTATTTATAATAGATCCTAATGTTAAGAGGTGAAAAAATGATCAGTATGAAGTTATCGTCATGCAGAATATCCATTAGACTCATCAATACGGGGGCGAAACAGAATTTATGATCAAACAAGAAAGTAACTTTCATTTAGTGATATATCAAGTTTTTCGTACAATATACATAATTAGTACCGAATAAGGTTCAACCAACCGTAATTTGGGTCTATGAATACTTCATAGAGTTTCGTCTTAGTCCTGAGACTAATGTTCTTTATATGAATGGCGCAGTCGGTAGGATTATTTTCGTTTTCAATAGTTAGATCATAATGCTCGCATAATTATATCTGTATTTGATACTCTTTGGATATATTCACGTCATTAAAATAATCTGGTATCAAAACTGAGCAAACTACATAAGATACTAGATCCTAAATGGAAAATGGAAAAACTTGATGAAGCATGAAAAGGAATATGAGTTAACTGTTAAGTTTCTGAATCATCAAAGATATTATCCAAGATTTTTGGGGGCTAGTATAGCACCAGATGAAATATAGGACTATAAACTATGCATAGCTCAATATATGGACTAGATGTATCAGGAAACAGTTTATTGTTTGAACGAGCACGGAATGATGTTATTTCCCATGAGAATGAAGTCTGTAGCATAAGCCGAATGCTGCAAACCATACGAGTGGAAAATTAGCAATTCGTGCGAGTTATACACTATACTTTTTCTACGGCTGTAACAGAAAACAGAGACATTTTGTATTTCTTCAGCTTGCAGTCATCTGATTTTTCCTTTAGTAGCTAGTGCCCATCTATAAGACAGAGCTGTCATTGCTTGAAATTTGACATATCATGGGGGATGAGAATGTGAAATAATAACACAATGAGTTCATTGTAATATCAGATAAGGAAATAAAATTTATCACACAAAGTACCTCATTGATTTATTGAACACAGTAAAACAAGAGCAATTTTGTGTTACAGCCGTTGAAATAATATTATCCTGCATTGAATCAACTTTCCTGTTAACATCGGCATCAGTACGATCATGTTGATACGAATTCGCGTCCATTTCATGTCAGGAACTGATTGCCCCTTGAAATACTCTCCTAAGGAAGATATAATGAGTAGCGTTTCCGTATCTTTCAATTAGTTTCGAACCTCATATAATTCTGACAATAACTAAGCTACCTACCGACTGCGCCATATTCCATATCCAATATTAGTCTTCAGATCATTGTCTTCAAACATCTAACTATCACGTCGAACCAACACTTCTCACATCA